GACCCTCAGCTCTGAGGAGCCGGCGCAGGAGCCTGTGATGGAAGAGGGACTAAAATCCACCATCTCTAGACACAACACTCCCTGCCTGAGACTTGCATTGAGGAAGAGCTGCTCTGCTTTTGCTCCCTCTACCTGCACTATGTGTAGAGGTATTGAATGTCATTCAATGTCCCTGGGAAGAGGAGCCATGCTGCTGCTAGAACACAAGTTTGCAGATTCACCCTTGACAGGTTTCTCTTCCACCTGTGCCTGCACAGAAGCCTGGTTTCCTAGATGCAAATCCTGCATTGCAAAGCCTTAACCATTATTAACTGCATCCTCTGAACAGTCTGAGTTTCAGGTGGATGTTTCTGATCTACAAGCAAAGCAGAAACTTGCTCTTTCTCATGGCTTTCCAGCAGCTTCAGAGGAATAGCAGCACTGGTCTGACTTCAGTTCATGTCATCCTTTGTGGGTTCACTAAGTCTTTGTGAATGTTTCTGCTTCAGCCCCCTTTTAGCCTGGCAGGACTGGGGGGGGGTGTGTGTGTTTCACAAGCAATCAGCAAAACCAGACAAAAAGACCCCCCTTCCAAAATCATACAAAGCTAGGCTGGAAAAGCAAACCTCAAATACAGTTAAAGAGATTTAATTTTGCTTACATTATTGAAAAAATGCCTTCTTCCCTAAAAGCAATGAAAAAAATACTTCTGCTGTCAATATTCATGATGTAGAAGAAAAGGGAAAGGTTCTGGTCCTCGTCTGTTTCAGTGGCAATTCTTTAAAAACATGTAGAAGTAAACAGAAGTATGGCAATGACCTTGTGATTACTCGATCCTTCAAAATCAAATTATTTTGTCCAGCCTTGGATGTCAGACACAGAAAAATGAACTGGAAGGGACCTCAGAGAACTATTCCATATTAAAAAAAAAACTTAACTAAAGGGTTTATCATTCAAATTAGTGTGAAAGGCTGCACCCTTTTCATTGTCCAGATGACACTTTTCCAAGATACTTTAATGGGTGGGACCACCCGGCACAAACCAACGTGTGACCATAGAAAAGGTTTATGATTTCTTCCTAAAAAATATTACCTTTTTTAAAGTGGAGTATCCCAGAGACACAAACCGACTCAGGCAAAATTTGCAACCCCAGGGTTAAGAGGGGGTGACACATCCCACGTTCTTGACATAAAACTCGAGTGACTCCGACACGCATGGGGGGGCACAGGCTGCTGGTCGCGGGGAGCACAAACCCCCCGGCCGCGCTGCCTGCGCGGGTTCCTGGCCGCGGGGTTCGCTGCCGCCCC